TCATATTTTTTCAGATGTAATATTAATCGGAACTAGATATAAGCAAATTTAGCAACTATTTTCACAGATGACTCAGTGGCCTGATTAAACGTCAGCTGCGTACATGTATCACTAGTAAATTCCTGAGTTAAACATTCGTGGTCTCATTTCACTACGTGGGTATTGATTAGTTATAGGAGAACGGAGAGCTATTTGCAGCAATCAAAGAAACTCTTTCTCACCTCCTGTAGTCAATATAAAAAATTGTACGAGAAAACAATACAAATTTAATATATTCTATAAAATTGATGCCGCAAAAGGTCTTCCCGTATATATAGATATATATCTTGTGAACGACTAAGCAGTTAGAATTTAAAAGTATGTCGACTAACGGCGGGAGTTTAGCGGTATCTAAACTAGCAGCCCTTTATTATTCATATTGTGGGTCCTTATTCTCGGCTATCGCTACTAATGGCCGTGTCTATGCAGCCCCCACATGTTCCCCGCTGGGTCTTTTACAGGTTTAAATATCTTAACGGTACAACGATCTGGCCATGCGGCGTCTTGTAACTGGCTACCTATCGACTACGCGTTTGCCATGTTCCTCTAATAGCCCTAGCGCCTGCAAACTTGCGTTCTCGAACGGTTTCAAAGCCTTCCGGATCCGCAATCCGCCCCTTCCGTCTCTTGCTTCGCCAATGGCCATACATAACGTATAAACTCTAGTTACATTTAAACAGTCCTACTCGTTCGGACTTATGCCACAGGTATGATACGACTATCAAATCTATTTAGGATATAGAGGGATTAGCATCTATGTGAAAAATTAATATGCCTGAAGGCCAAGCTAAGCTACCTCCACTTCGTATTACGCTGCAGCAGTGTCCCTGGCCACAGAGATACCGATTATTTTTAGATACGGTTGCTTCACATTGCAAGTTGACTTCGTTGCTTGAAGAGCAGTCCGGCAGCTGCTTAGGTAACTTTCCTGCTAGAGTTAATTTGCGCTACTTTACACTACATTTAGTGTCTAAAACTGTTCTAATCGTATGCTCAGATCCATTCAGATTACCTCCGGAACACGCACTGTGATCGTTAACGGCGTTTTTAACGTAACAAAATCCTCACATTTCCAAAAAATTGCTATTGTACGTCTGGAAGTTTAGAAGTGGCTACAAGGCGACATACATAGCACACGGCCCTGCGCTACCATCACAAATGCGATAGTTACTGTGTAACGTCATACCACTCGCCCATTGGCTCAAAGGCCGTCACCTTCTTTCTAAAAGTTATCTTAAATCTTACCTATTATTGTCTTATGTGTAAACACTTTTGAATTTATAGATTTTTCACAGCAAAGCGTCATTACTTCGGTAATTACCGCGTAAAATATTCGTTTCGTAACGATTGCGTTGATCTGAAGACTGAAAAATCGAAATGACTTCAAATAGCGCCATTTATGAGAATAGATCTTTATGTATAATGAAAACACTGTTACCAAATATATACTCGAAGTGTCATATCTGTCGAAGCAAGATTGTAGCTTGTCTTTAACGCTCAAAGAAGTCAAGGAACTCCTTTTTTTGACGCTTTGTCCTTTGCCAAACCTTGTCCCTGATTGGATCGATAGAACTTAGTTTTGCAATAGCGACACATTCTACGAAGACAGGATATCCAATCTTAATTAGTAGTCATTGCAGTGCATCAGTTTTGCCTACGACTACGATAGCAACTGAGATCACGCAAAATTAGCTTGATGGCGCAACGCTGCACCGGTTTTTATCTATTCCTTACGAGAAAATCTTCTTACGTCACGCTCCGCCTCAGCTGTAGTTATCAGGAGCACGAGAACGTATTATTACTCTACACGGTTACTGTGATAGTCCTCCATGAACAGCCACGACTAAGAAACACATCCATCTACAATCGGAATTTCACCAAGTCACGTACCGCATCGCTCCGTACACATAGCCCCGATTCACGCCGGCTTTTCACTGCGCTTAACCAACCGCTGTTCGTCGACTGATCGACACCGCGCCACGGTCCGTAGAAGTGAGGGAGTTCCAATAGTTCTCGCCACCTGAGAAAGAGAACAACTTTGAAACTGAAGTTGCGTGAGAAATCCTATTGACTAGCGAAATAGATCTGCAGGGAGAGGGGCTAACCGTGTTAAAAACGGTAAAAAAAAGTAAGACAAAAGTTCGGATTACGTTGTAGACCTTGTTAAAAAAAACCCTTTGACCATGTTAGGTAACATGGTCAAAGGGTTTTTTTAACTGACCGAATAACTTGGCAGTTTGTTGTAGTAGGGCGTTATGAGGATATCTGAACCGGTCTCCTTCACAGAAACTTTGCTTTTTTTTTTTATTAGTAATGGCTGTATATTATGGCTTCGCGGATATATATATATATATTTAAGTTGGGTTCTCTTCGTTTTGGGTTGTTTAAAAAATATTTAAATTTTTTGAAATGCTATAGCAACGACATATTTTTCGTTGTCCTAATAAAAAGCTAAACTATTAAATATCTGGATAATAAATGTGAAACATTGCGCTTGTCATTTTACGACACGTAGTCAGTTTCGTAAATAAAAGCTTCATCTCGAAACGGACGAACAGGAAAATATTTCAAGGAAAAGTCATATTATGTTACTAAATTTACTTAACAAAAAAGGCTCCGCTGTTCATCTAACTAAGATTTCGTCTAACGAAATTTTACAGACAACTGTATTTTTGTGACGTATATGTAGTACGTAAATTAATTAGAAATAACATTTAATAAGCATTATCGAAACTACAGAGTATTCTACTGATAATTCTAGATATCGAACACTCGTGCACCTGCATGCTTGCGAAAAGGTCATACAACAAGGTCTTCCATGTTGTTTGACTTTAATTTTTCTTAATTTACCGAGCGTAACATTCTAAAACTTTTTTTCCGAGAACGAGTGGTGTTCGTTAAATATTATTTGACAGCTACCAACTATCAACAGAAGTCATGGAGCATTGCTGGGGAGTTAATAGGCGAAACCAGTATAAATTGAATTTAACTTCTAAAACGTTGTTTACTGGTGAAATGGGCAAACGTAGCATCGAGCAATAGTTTCTTCAGAAAGACTGATTCGTAGGAATCGATCTTATTGTCAAAGGTTGCTGCTTTGTGATAGATTTGAATTAGTTGAAATTAGTATCGAGCTCTCTACTTTTTCATTTCTTCCATGTAGAAGTTTGACTGGAGCCCTTCCAATTGGTACATGTGGGGGTCACTTGATGTCCTGTAAACATGTGTTTCAAACGGGTCTCTGAAAAGGTTTTTAAAATTCCCATCGCCTTTAATGGATCAATCTGTTTAGTTGCTGATAGCAATAATCAATATGAATCTGTTACTGCAAATGCAAGGTGAATTTAGCCAGGAACTTATTCATAGTTGTACATAATCTTTGCTTGCACGTAACTTCCTCGATGAACGAATCTATCAGAAGCCATAGAAGTTTTACGCTTTGTTTCGTTCTGCGCACCTTTCGTGATGAAACGCATGAACTTGTAGCTCTTTCGAACGAGCTGCTATCAACTTTCCTGTTATGGCTTACTCGACTTCAGATAAATCATGAATTATGAAAGCCCAAGATTCGTTCATTCTAGTTTGTTCTCATTAGCGCAGCCACTTACTGATCTGCCTTAATTCAAGTCGACCCTTGAGCATTCCGTTGTGTAGTCCCACATAACCGGATCCAATCTCTCAGTTAACTTCGCAACGGTTACTTATCCAAGGTCGATAGTTCGACGGTAATCTCGGCAGCATGTGAACTATGTATATCCCACTTAAAAGTTGTAATCCTACCATGTTTTTTGACAACGTCTTGTTTCATCTAGCAATGAGCATCCGCATTTTACTAGCAGCTTTTATGCCTAGCAGTACCGCGACTGCCTAATGGTCCGCCTGTTAGGTTAGCCACTTCTCCCATAAGTATGATTCTTTTCTAGAAAGGATACGCATGTTAACACGTTATCCTTTTTTCAGGACTTATTTTTACATTCGCTAGGATTGTGACAGGCGCTTTACCTCGGTACTTGCCTTCTCCCTATTGTGTATTTGTCACTCCTGAAGATAGGCGTAACTAGCGAATACGCTGCAGGCCTCCTTCGGTGAGCCTGCAGGGGAACTTCCTGTACTGACCTCCATGAACCTTGGTTGGCTTGAACGCTCTACGTTCACTGGTATCCGATAAGATGCGTTAGCTTGTTTCCCGCATCTGTTTGACGGGCTCGATCGAGTCCGTATGTATATCGTACGAACAAACTTGCCGATTGCACTGTGGCGGTTGTTAAAAGTAGGTGAACGATTAGTATCTGAACGACGCGAGCACAACCTTACGAAATATATATATGTATATAAGAAAATAATTACGAGGGCAAGATTATTAGCCGTACTTGGCCCATTACTAACGAAAACAGTATTTTATTAATTCAAAACAGATGCGTAATCATTTGCTTTCATCAAACCTTCCCTTTGAACAAAAAAGTACTCCGACATTCTCTTACGTTGTCTTTTATGAGTATCCGTCGTAAGAACTCTACGAGGCTATAATGGCACCCTAAGTCACAGAAGTTCAGCCGTGGCCGGATAAGGCTAAACCCCTTTTCGGGATTCGTAAGCCATTTTTAAAAGTATTATTAGGGAGATTGTTGCTATACCTCTGTCAGATGACAATGAACACTAAATCTGCGTGTGTCAGTATCAACCAAATTTTTAAAGAATGTCGAAGTGTTAATAGCACAGCCAGGTCTCATCACTCTTCACTGAAATGTGCTTAAGTATTTCTACTTTAAACCTTCGCCACCATGATAATGATTTGCTTTCTTAGAATCTTCCACTTTGAGATAGAAAATACGCAAAGCTATAATTAGATAATATTTATACCATTAATTTGAACTCATTGTTTCCTTTTATATAGAAAACCATTTGAATTTGTGTGCTCGCGCGCCTCTTAAGGGTGCGAGTTCTGTCGAATAGCGTCCGAGCTCTAATGCATTTTGGTAAACATGTCAGCTCTAAGTGAAACAGTTCTCTAGAAGTTTAAAAGGTTTTCTTCTGTATATATCTTCCGAGGTATGTATTGAACTGACTACTTTAAGTTCTAATAGAAGATTTCATTAGCTTAATTTTAATTTAATCACTTTGGCATCTTTGAATAAGGTTTTAAAGTTTACTCTGGGACGTACGGAACAGCTGTACCCATCGCTTCTGTGATGTGGCCTTCTAATTTTTTGATACATGGTTACTAAAGAAATAGCTATCTAACAGTATTTAGACGCTCTGCGCCAGCATGTCCAATTATGGCCTGCACTGCGATGTACGAATAGATAAATAAGCAAAAACAACAATCGAATGCGATCATTATATTGTCTTCTCCACCATTATATTGTCTTCACCAATCGGAGTAATAGCTCTGTAGAACTGAGTTATCCAAAACAATCTCAGTGTATCGGTTCGATACAAAGTGATAATTTAATGAAACCGTTGAAACGAGGATGCTCATATGGATACTCTCGGCAAGCCTCATAAACTGGTGATAATTATTATGAGAATGATAGCACCATGTATGTACCGATGTACATGCATGGTATATGTATAGTTAACTAAATGTAGTAATTAGGTCAGTGACAGTTTAGCGACTTGATGAAGAACTTGATGAATCTCTTATATCATACCTTATCCACATTTGAATGTGGATAAGCTATGATATAAGAACAAATCATTCGTTTGTATGGATGTTGAATCGGTTGAACATTTGCTTGTAACGCTTATTCGTATGTTAATGACAGATGAACGTCGAAGTAGAAAGCGCGATAGCACGGAACACTCCGTGGTCGCGCGTAGCGCCAGCCGTACGCCAAGCGTTAGGAAACTCTGAGGCAGACTACGACAAGCATGTCATGCAATATTCTATTCGAAATCAACTAAAACACCGCGGAAACCTTGGTATGTACGTGCGAAATAATAGCGTAAGCTTATAGGGCGTACCTGCAAACTTCCAGATATTATTACAGCCACAGGGTACAATTGCTTTGCCAGCTGTGTATAACCTATAATATGCTTCTTGCTGGGAGAAATATCGTTCGACCATTAGGTGATTCGAGATTTCTGTTCAATAAAACACCATTGGGCTTTGCGCTATTAGCCGTATTCAGGATTACATAAGTTCTATTGTGATACGTGTATAGATTTTATCTTAACATATTCGTTTAGCGTTAGGTGAATATTATATCATGTCTAATCGTATGAACTTCGTCCCTTGGTGTTGGATAATTTTAGTGCGACGCATCCATCGAGACGAAAGGTCCTACTACGACACGCTGCTCGAGTATTCCCGAAAACACCTGATGCTCTACCCATACCATTTGAGCGATTTTATCGTCACTCAGATGCGGGTTACACCTTTCCAGTACTACATTTCTATTATGCAAGTTAGTTGCGTGTTATTTTGCATTAGAGTTTAGCCTGCAGAGAGGACGTTCTAGATTGGTCGTACATAGGAACACAAATTTCTTTTCGTTTGGCGTCTGGAGATAAACGCTACAATAACGCGTCCTTGACCCAGCCACATCAGTAGCTCATAGTTAATGTGTCGAGTTTCATACGACACTTCATATGGATTAAGCTGTGCAAGGATTTTTACTATGATTTTGAAATTATGCATTTACAGGATATAATGACGCAGGAAAAGAGTTACGATTCGCTACCGAATTTCACAGCAGCGGACGTACTGCGATTGTTGGGTATCGGGCGAAACCAGTATATTGAGCTAGTAAATATGTGCAAATCTACTAAAAGTTTCTTTTCACTCAAAAAAAAGAATCTTCGCTCCGTGCTTCCTCCAAAACCTATTGAAATTTCCATAGAGCCTTGGTGGATCATTCATCTCGGCTATATCACCGAAACTGACGTAAAGGTACGTTATCTTTCCTACAGTAAATAAAAGAAATTCGTTTTTATTGAACACTAATTTCATCAGAGGTAGTACCCAGATCCCGAACGGATTTAGGGAGCCGGGGGTCCACACAGAAAGATTTGTGAAAGGCTTTTTTACCTTCATACTTTTTAAATCATTTAACTTGTGCCTATAAATAATACATTTTGGACTCCGCACACTAAGAGTAGGAGTTCCTATCTGGCTATTGCGTACCTTTCCGCTAATTGCTTTGAAATTTGCTCTAATCAAGGTATTATAAAATGCTAAGTACTCAAGGGCTTTTTCTTTAGGGTCGTTCGGTTGAAAAGTGAAGTAGTTATTAAGCTTAGATAGTGTGTATAATATCTTTGCTAAAATTTTTAGCTAGTTTCTGCTCCGGAAAAATGTATGATCGATCTTTTAATCGACGAGGGACCTCAAAAATGTGGCGAGCATGACGTCGACGTAATCAAAGCATTGTACATACGGGGGCTGGTCTATCTTGATGTCCCAATAGACGACCACGATTACATAGCCGGTATGTGAATTGACAAATCGCTCTGTAAAATTTAGCTCACTTATATATGTAATCTTGTTGTTTTATTGTTCTGAAGGTGTTACGTTCAAAAATTAATTCCTTAAGTGCTATTAGTAACATTATATTATCCTGCGAAAAGTATTTATGTTTAGTTGTTTGTATATTTGTGTTATCTGATTTTTGCCTATCTGTGTAATATAGTTATATAGCATTGATAAAATTGGACGGTTGCCGTCGACCTAAGCTGCTTATTGCTGGCCATCGTCATTATGTTTCTAAACTGTTGCTGTCGACTCTTGGTTAATATCAGCAATCCAACTCAACCCTCATAATTTGAACGTAGACACCTGTTTAATGTGCTGTAAATAGTTATTAAAAAAAAGAACCGTGTTCATAGCCAAGTTGGCCCTGTAAATAATGTCCAAACTGCTGCACTGATTAAGTATATTGCTAAACTGCGGAGCACATTGAGACATGTATGACAATGTTTGCGGCTGTAACCGAGCTGTTGTCTAATTATACGGCAATAGCGAGACTGTGTCCCTAAATGTTATCATTCTTTAAACGACAAAAAAAATAGTGATTTTGCCGCTTTTGTTTTGTTTTTTATATGTAGATTTAGTATTTAAATTTGGAAATATGTGATTTATTTAGATGGAGGTCAATGCCAGCTTTCGATTCGTGCCAAGCTTGCTCCCAAGGTAGGCCTTTTTGTACAACAAATATTTTTTAATGAGAACAACAAATCATGGACGAAAGTGCGCATCAAAATGTAGGTCCCCCCAGCTTCGACTTTTGCGCATCTAAAAGATAACGAACAAGTCCTCAAAAAGGTACCTTTAATTATTATTTAAAAACGGATTTCATATGAGACCAATGCAGCGAACGATAAATATATTAAGATACATTAATAGATAGGTGATGTAGACCTTTACCACGGTGCAGAGACTGCATGATCACCTGAAAGCAATCTACCCATTTACTTACGAAAGTAATGTGGACGAAGGAAGACATTAGAGTATATGGTCTCATCATATTCTTGTCACAACACTCTAGCCACATAAGTTCTGGCACGCCAAATCACGTTGGTCAATGCCCTAAGGTAAATTCGAATAGAGCGATATTTTCTTGTTAAATTGAACGTTCTGCTTACTTTACAACTCTGTCTAGCATACGTCTTTTTCTGTGCTTTTGGTACGATGTTTCCGCCCTTGCTAACATATGCAGTACCACCACTGGAGGGTTTCGTGATGAACTGCGTCTCGGGTGATCCTCTTGAAAACCTTCTCTACAAGACCTTTGTGTCTTTAGATGAACGGACACCGGTAAACGAGCTCAGTAGCGTATTACAGGTCGAAGGACAGTTAATCAAAAACGCAGTATCTATCTATTGCCGGTTAGGATTCGCGCATAAAAAGAATGTAAAGGACAAGGTTGACCTTCACCCATCGTGGAAACCACAGATCCCATTACAACAGCCTCCAGGGGCATCAGGAAATGGCGGAAATAAGTACGCATTTACTCTCTTTAATGTTTTACATGATAGAAAGACACTTAAATCTAAGAAAGGGTGTCGTTAGGGCTTCCAATAGACGGCCAGAATCTTTTTCTCAACGCGTTATTTTTCACTATCAGTAAATTGCTTATTAGGACTTCACACAACTGCACTTTTAATCTAGGTGCTTCAATGCTCATATTAGTTATCCAGTCTTTCGTTATATTTATTGTGTCAGTACAAGTAGCTCGTCAGACGATGTAGACGGCTTTATCTGCGTTCTGCATGACGAACTTGAACAGCAGTCAGACTCGTCCGTGGAGCATGTGAGTAATTCCGCCACGGGACGGGATTCGCGTGAACGTGATTCGGGTGGCACCCACAAAGATACATCGCCCGAGAGCAGTCCGTACACAACAAGCGGTTCGCTTCACCACGTGGACACCACAAAAGGTCTGCGGTTATTTTTTGTCGACCAAAAGTCGTTATGCTTTCAATAAACTTGATTTCATGAAATGAAGGCCAATTTTGAATGTAAGAACTTAAATATTAAGTTCTCCATGTATTTCTTGATGTATTCTTATTTTTGGTTAAACGGAACAAATATCTTCTGTAAAACTGCGCAGCTGGATAATTATAAGCATGCAGCAACAGGGGTATTAATTTGATATGGTTTCCCTTTAGGTAAAAGAATCGGATTTCTCTTTGATTCGACTCTAACGGCATTCCTGATGATGGGCAATTTGTCATCCTCGCTCAAGTCACATGCGGTCACCATGTTTGAGGTTGGCAAGCTTTCCGACGAAATACTCGATTCATTTATCCTCGAGCTCGATAAGGTGTGTAGTGCTTTCCATATAAAATGCAAATACTCAGGACTAAGCTGTTACGATTAATAACAGGACCATTTTGTAACGTCCGCTCTATTCTAAATATATATTTATGTACAATAGAAAAGCAAAAAGTGTAGACAAGTATATATATATATATATATATATATATATATATATATATACATATGCGCAATATTCATTTACGAATTTGGAAAAAGGCGTACTTATTAGAAACTACAAAATACTGATAGCTTGAGCGATCCGTCATCACATTATTATGTCGTCCGCCTAAAAAGTAGCATTTACGTTCCTTTATACGTAATATATTTCTATGACATAATTTCTGGGAATTAACATCGTTTCCAGGTTGAAGAGCAAACCGGTGAAGGTGACGCAGTTCGTTATTATGAACATACCGTCGCGTTATCGCATACCGTCCGATTTTTGCGCTACAATATTAGACTGTTCGACCCTCCGTTGCCACTCGATCTTGTACGATGTGAAGCTCTTCAAAACCTCGATACTGACACGTGCCGAAGACTCCTCAACAAAAACTACAAGTATGCATGGCCGTACATGTACATAATTATGATGATTTTGACAATTTTCTGTAATACGACATTTAGTTAGCTTTAGTTTGTTAGTTATCGTCGTTAGGCGGACAGTAGTTTACTAGTTGTTGTAACACATTGTTTGCAGGGAGAACATCTGCTTTGCTTGGTTACTATCGGTAGTGACATAGCCATAAAGAACCTAAACGGCAACTACATCTTGCAATATTTAACTTGTCGCACCACTGATTTTATTAACATTTCATCATTTTGCAGTTTGCTGATCTCAATGGCGCCTCTGTCGAAGGAAGTTCGCCCAGTGACAGGTTGTTCTCCGTGTCATCTGGGCCCACCTATTCCCGAAGTGAACTCCCTGTGGTTTAAGTTGTTTCTTTATAACTTAACTCGACAGGGTCCCACCTCGGTTCTACTTACACGAGGGAGCCGTCTTCGAAAACTACCCCGAGAGTTATTGGTGAGAAAGATATATTTCGTATAGCCTAATTTAATTGTTTCGACTGTTCTATATGCATTCACGGCAGCACTGTATCTCCTTTATGAAATGGTGTTGAACAAAGTTGATTTATTTTTTTCTCTTTGACCTCCAATTTTGCGTGAAATGAATAAATAATTATTCAGTCCCGGCCAATTAAGTTTTTTTCCAGATTTCATATTTCGATACGAAGAAATATGCAACAGTAGTGGTAAACCTCTTTTGTTATTGTTGATAGCCTTACGAGAAAATCACGTTAACGAATTGGGGTCACGATCCTACGACCATAGTGTCGGCGTCAAGCCTTCCAACCATCAATGAGTTTCTAACTTATTCGGCCTCGATGGTTCAAGCCTATGATCTGCAACAAGACAAAGCTTATCTTCCATTCCCGTTCGACTTGCAGAAGGAAGTTGAAGCTGGTACGTATTTGATCTTATCTAAAGTACTAAGTTTGGTGAAGTGTTACATATTATGAGCTTTGTACTCCAACTATTCCAATATCGTACTTCCTTGCACTTTTCCGTATTCTTCATTTAGCAGAATCATTGCACAGATAGAAAACACTAAAGATTATTATAGCACAAGGATCGATATACCTAAAGAATTCGTTTCGTCGCCATAGCCTCTTGTACCTGTCCCTGATATGACAAACAAAAGTTATTCATTTCAAGGAAATGAGCTGTACTCGTTGGAGTGTGTTCGAACACTTTACACGGAACTAGACTTATCCCATCAATGTGGATACATCACGTTACTTTGTCCTCGAAACCGGGATAGCGGACAAGTCAGTGGCATAGGAGTATCTTCCAGAACGAATACTAGTAGTAATATAACAGAATCAAGCACTGCTTCTTTGTCTGGACATAATGAAGTTGACCTTGGCCCGAACTTAATTTCGGCGCATCCAGATACGCCAAGCACTTTCTCCAATAGTAACAAACAGTGCGTGTCAGCTACATCGGGTGGTCATGTACTACTCGACTGCACGTTCGGTCTTCCGCTGTTTGACGCACAGCTCAACGAACGTGTGTGTCAGCGAATCGTCGAATTTGGTCTATGCACAGAAGATGCCATGCGAAGGCTGACTCAAAGCTCGAGGAAGCTAGCGCTTAAGCTACTAGAATTCATCGATCAACACCATGTAAGAAAAAAAACGCGATTTTTTAATAATGGCAATAGATTGATACCGCAATGTTCTGAAAGTTCCGGGTATGATGAAGCAACGGGTGCAGAAAGACATGAACATGCAAGTGGACAGGAAAACGTTGAATTCCTAGAGGAATATCGCGAATGTTGTGACTTCAAGCTTAGTGAGCCTCGTAGACCCTCAACATTTTTGACCCTTCGTACTTATTAAAAGTCGCCGTTTAATTCGTTCATATGGTATGAATTTCGTTCCAGGGCGACTGCTCATTGGATCAGCAGAGCGATATGGTACCTCTCCCTACAGAAGGTCTTATTTTCAGCGACGGAATGCTGCGGACGCTGTAACGCACGAGTTGCCCAGTCCAGTTATAACCTTCCCTTCCCCAAGCCTTTGTTGATTTGTCTTTAACCCATGGTCATCACCTGTCGCCTCAAACGTGGCCTATTTTTCGCCCCTTGCCAATTTGTTGACCCGGAACACCGCCGATTAATTGATTGTTAGCCATCCTTGTCGAGTACAAAAATAAATCCAACAATACACACGGCACACATTTATATATAAATAGACAAAAAGCGTTTTACCGAATGCGGCCTTCATGCTAATCTTTTTTGCGACATTTTTTGCGTTTCCGTAATTTATGCCAAAAATTGTCATACTTGGATAGCTTTCAGCTGAAATCGGATTAGTTATTTATAACTGTTTTATTCCTGCTTGTAGAACAAATAATGCGAAAAATGTCCGCATTATGTACAAAATATTGAAATGAGCTTGGGCAAAGGTTGGAACAGATAGATATGTACTTTTCAGAGCGTTACGGGTATGTCAGAAATCGCTACCGGTAGCCGCGTTGTACAGTGTTACCGCACGATTACAGTGTTCACCGTCATAAGTTTAACAAATTCAGTCTAAGTAAGGTCGCAAAAGAGTTAGGGCTTACACTTTTTTAATTTCTTCATGCAACCTTCGTATTTTATTTGATTTACTGCCTTATTAGATTTATTAATAAGGCAGCATTTTTAGCTATCGCTTGCCCTCAAACGTATGCATGCACTTGAATGCTGTTAACACATAAATATATGGCTACAGCGTCTTTTACCTTTTTTTTTTTAATTATTTTGCAGCCAACCCGACGTAGAGAAATTGTGAATTAAATAATTATGACTAAGTACATCTAAAACAAAACAATAATCCTTACAACTGATTCACCTGAACATGCATTTTTATTTTCTGCGTATTCTTCGCTGACCGCACAGTTATGATTGTGCTGACCAAATCGAAATCTTCCGACTTGATTTTAATAAGCTATTATATGCTCTCGACGATATGGTTTTTACAACCACATTATCATTTTACGACGTGACATTCAATATGATCGTAGAATTAAGCGATCTGAGATAGTATACACAGAACAGAACACAATTTTTAACGTGACACACATTCCACAATGTAAGAAGTACATCAGTAACAAGTGTTACTCTTACGACGTTTATCGTTGATATAAACTTCGCTGAGCGAACATTGCCAAGTAAGCTGACGTCCGTTCGTTCATATTATTTGATTTACAAACAAAAACGTGGCGTGCTTTAGAAAATGTTAGTTAAAATTACAATTTTGTGTACCTGTAGAGGTATACATAAATATGTTTATATATAGTTAGATGAATGGCAAATATAATATAGACATAATAGGCAGTGTTTCATGAAAAGAGAATTAAAAAGTGGATATACATATTGATTATGTAGTGACCGCGGTGATTGATATCAATAGTAATGATGTATTTATGATTCTGTGATGGTGAAATAATGGCCTTTAAGACTGAGGGAAGGAGTGCAATAGTAGAGTGCATATGACCACAACTACATACCAAAAAAGGGAGAATTATTATTGTAATAAAAAATTAGATGCAATGGAGAAATAAATGGTGAGTGAAGACAAACGACATAGAACATGTTCGGTAGCACTGTCCGTGTACTTTATTCAAAGAGTATTTTTATGACCTAATAGCCAATAAAATACACCGAGATGGTTTGTGTGTGTTTTACAGTTAATTTCATTTCTTTATAGTATAAGTAAATTAACAATTTAGTATTAGCGTTTTTGACTTTCATTTCAATACTACGCATTTCTTCGAGCTCAAAATGCTGCCGAAACAAGCTAATGAACAGTAACGATGTTAGTGATAAAAGAACTGCTAGAAGAAGAATAGTTTGCAAAATATGGGACCTAAAGAATGTCATCCACTTTGGCCGACCGTCTGAGTTTGATAACAACTAAAAACACTTTTGAAGGAAAATAGCCGCCAGAAGAAATTGGCCGACTGGTTGCAGCCGCATGACCATCGTTTTCCGCCTAACATTTTTGGGGCTTAGACAAACGCTTCATTAACTTTCTAAATTTAGCAAGAGATTATATTTTAATATTATATTTCAGTATCTCGCCCGCCGTCGAGTGTCACGCGATCAGAGTGGTCGATTTTTGCTTAGAATTGTGATGATGATAGGCAATGTTTATATATCAACACGAACCAGAGACTAATATAAGTTACTCTGGAAGCATAGCCAATGTCTAGTATCTCACCAAATCCCTATCCAAAATGACTGCGAGGTTTAATCCACCGGAAACTGCTTCCTGCGAACCAGACAATTGTGTTTGCTTATTGTTTATTGTGTTGACTTGGAGGTATTCAAGAGAAAAGAGCCGACAAAATCGGATTACTTGACTTTATGACGAGCCAAGGCTTTACACGGCAAACATCATCAAAGCTGCCCTCCTGACTCTGAATAAAAGATTTCCTTACACCCTCCAGGTACAAAGAAATTTTCAGAAATGTCATTCAAGAAGAATCTCCGGATCTCGCCCCGACGTATTTTACGGGGTCATTTTATGTTTAATAGCAAGTGAAGTTGAAAACTGCTCATTCTACCGTGTGAAGAGCCTCAAAACCTGGCTGGACGAATCCCTCAATACCGTTCTAAAATTTCTAGTGAGAAAGAAACAATTGATTAACAGATGGCAGAAAGTTGTGAACAATGATGGGGGACACATGGCATGTTTACTTATTGTCACAGGAATAAATTTTTTATTATCCTGGCAAAAAGTAAGCGGGCACGTATTTCTTAATCATTTGAGCTACTAAATGAAACTCCACCTAGTGAGAGAAAGGTCTCATATATTTACGCATTATTTATAATACAGCCGTAAGTAAAGAAAGATAAGCTATGGAATAATGGGTCAACCAATGGATAGCTTTTATGACATCTTTGTTAATTAAAATAAGCCATTATATATTAGGCATGTTGCCATAATAACATTATTATTACTACTTGGCTTCCATTTTATTACCCTGGAGCAATTAAATCGTTTGGCCAACTCTTAAAAACTAGCCTCAACAACCAAGAGCGGGATGTACATTATATGTAGTCAGCACTATGATTTTTAATAAATAATATATATTTCTACTTGGAAATTACAATGTGAAGGTGCTAGTTCTCTATGCAGCGTGCTTATCGGTGCAGGCTGTATCGAGCTTTATACATTATAACACAATACAATGACTAGGCAAATATTAGAATTCGAGTTGCATGGATTCTTGAACAAAAGCCTTCAAACTGCTCGTTATCTACGATTTTATTTGTGCGTTGAAACGCAAATATAAGCGTAGATTGACTTTTTCCAAAAATTTCTGCATGTCAGAGCGGATATTACTGGTTCCAGGAACTTGCCGAAAGTAGCGTGTACATATTTTAATATGTGATCTCTTCTATTGTTTACGCACTAAACTAAACATTTTGGGAGCGCTTTTTAATAGACATACATGCTTCCCCTATTCTAAACACAGTTCGTGGCGAACCCATTTGTTAAATTTTATAACACGTCCTTTGAGTAATCATATATTGCATCAACAGGAAGCGCATTATCCTAACCCTGGTCTGCTATAGTAATGCTTCTTTTTCATAGCAACTCGTTTTTTTGTATTTGAGGTACTAGAGTATTGTAGTCTCTTCTGAAGTCTTCAGCCCCTTAATTTCTATTGGGAAAATAATTGCACCAGCAACTAGCTAATCTTCCATTAAAGTCCTCCTTGCTTTGCCAGTCTTTGATAGACGCCCGAGCGCTCTCGCTCCTAAAAGATAAAAGCTTAATCAGTTAGGGTTGATTTTCAACACTGCACCATATCTTTGCTTTTATTCTATTTTTTTTTTACAACAATATTCAGCCTATCACCGTAGATACGTAAGAGCTTTATGTAAGCATTTGTGAAATCTCATTAGCTAATAAAGTTGTAGATTAACGCTTATTCAATGTTCTACTTTACTAAATTTCCACACAAACTTACGCATATCATAAATCTATTAAACGATTTTATCGTAGATGCATGTTGTGACCGTTTTGTGACATGTATTTGCGTTATCCCCATGATGGTACAGTTTGCCCATCGAATTTAAGAACACTTAGTGAAGTGGTCTAGGTTAGAAATCAAGCGTAGGCACATTTGATTTCAAACTGTGAATCAGCGCCTTAACATAATATTTCATAGCAATAGAACAGTGAAAAAAGTTATCGGCGCTGCGCATGAAGAAGTTATAGATAGTGGTAGTGCCAGGCTGTGGCCCATATGATGACAACAAGAGCTTTGGATTAATTAGCCAGACCACCCCATAAAGCTGTCTTCAGAAGATGCTTGCGCATAAATGGGCAAGATGTTGAAGCATATTCTTAAACCTTATTATAGAAAGATTATAATAATAACGTCGTGTTCATACGTAGCGTCATACTACCCACAAGCGATCCGATGTATGCACATTTTTAATGTTGCATTGTGGTAGGGAATGACTGTAAGAGGGAACCGCGGCACAACCGAAAAACAAGTTTTTAACCGTCGTCGTCGTGGATAATGTTCATGTATTGCTTTGATAGCGCTCAATATGGTATGTAAAGAACGACAAGTTTTTCTTCTTACAACTTTGGGTAAGTTCGAGATCTATGTCCTTTATTTATAAGCAGATCAAGAACCAGAGTGGATCTCCTGTAAAAAAAATGATCAATGCAATACCGAAAACAGGCGTGAGTTAAGTGTATTCTTTCATTCTTGTAGATCAAAGCAATTCTTTTATGCCTTCGATGTTTGATCGGTTGCAGCTTTTGGCGTTCAAATTTTCCTATCGTGCCGCAATGATGAACAGCTAATTCATTGGCAATATATTCACAATAATACCCAGTTTGCTATCTGTCAAGCATCAATATTTTCAACGATTGTTTGTACAATAGGTTAGGCTTTGTCTGCACATTAATTAGGACACAGGCTTGCTACAGAAAGGCAGTCAACAACGAATTGAAAACAACTGCGTCGTTTACATTACGTACACGTTCGCTTTGTCAGTTGAGCTTAAATGAATGACACGTAAACTACATAAATTGGCACGATTTAATAATAATCAAATCCATAGAACTGAGCAACAACAACACAATTGATATTGACATAGCCTAACTATAGGCCGCAATAGAATGAATCTTTTAGAGTATCTTTTTTTTTTTTTTTTTTTTTTCTAGAAAAAGATAAACGTGCATTTTCATCGTCAGAACTCTGGAGACGGTCTGTTCACCTACGAAGTGACAAATTCAGTGGTGATGTACTCGGTTTCTGCCGCATGAATATGGTACAAACTAGTTCTATTAACTCACAGACACGCTCACCGGCTGAAGTCCTCACCCACGGGGGGCAATATGAGGCTTTTTTTAAGCATCTGTAAGCTTCTTTTACGGATTTATTCATACAATACGGTATTATGATATCTGTAAAACATACGATCAGGTTAATGAAACTGAGAATACGAAGATGTGGTTTTAGAAGGCAGTCAATATTAAAAACGTTTGTGTGTTGTTAAGGGAAATTATATACATAACATCAAGATGTACTTATCTGTATCGTTGAACAACGATCAGTCTTGTGGATTGATCTTGTGTACTTTTACCGATTAGAAACTGGAAATATTGTTTCTTGTGCAGTGTTTTGTTTTTAAACAGGAAATTAATGCGACGCCTGACTAATCATTGGAAATTATTTCACATAGAAAATATTACAGGATTGGTTCATGTTTTATTCGAGTCAGTATTAAATGCTACAGAACTCTTGCTTTTTTTAGCTTAAATATCTTTGAAAAAAGGGTCTTACACGGTTTTTTTTTACAAAGATAAAGCTATTATAAATATTACCGAGAAAAAATATCTGCACAGCTTTGTTTTGTGCCTGTTTTTTTGTGCCTGCAACTCTCTTTTGTGCCAGGTATTGTTTTTAAAGACTACACAGTAACGGTTTATTCAGTATTTAGTGCCAATCTCTTATTTACCTGTACATGACGAGTTTCTGTTCTAAGCCCGGCCCCCGTGCAGTATATAACGTATTTGCCTGCTAGATCAGGTGTATGCCGTAGTCTGAATTTAAATCCCGGTGTAAACACACTTTATTCTGTCCGGGAA